TCCACATMTTTTTTCATTAAAAATACAAGGTCTTAGAATTCTTCTGTGGCACTTATTCAATGTCAATGAGTCATAGAAAAATTTTTGTCAGTTTGTCTTTTCATACTACTTATAGCATGTCTGTGTCAACAACTGAAAAACAAACAAACAACAACTATATATATATATATATATATATATATATATACACATATATATTATATATAAATATATATATACACACATATATCCCTCCAAGGATCAAATGAATACCTCAGAAGCACTGTTTAAAAACAAATCTTGATTCCTGCTGTTAAATAATTTGCATAAGCCATCCCACTTCCCCTTTCATTATAAACATTTGTTTTCTATACCACTCTACACTGCAACATATAAGTGTCTTGGCTGTAAATAATAACCTCATAATTTGAAAGCCTATGACGCAACTTTGAAAGATATTTATAAGTTGTTTAAAAATGAAGGAAACAAAAAAAGAATTTAGCCAATTCTTAAGAAATTCAGATCAAATCAACATTAAAACTACATTAAAATATAAACTTTAAATTCACATTAAATTATTTATTGAACAAATTGAAGATAATGACATCTTTTTCATTACAAAAATTTCCATCATTTTATATCATTGACACATAGGTACGAGTCCTGCATTTAAAGAGCAAATAGAAATGAAAAAGTCTCTTCCCCAACTTCCCACAAAGAAACAAAACATATGATTTCAYAATTATTTTATAAAGCCAAAAGTTTTATGAATTACATATTTTTGTTAATTAAGAATGACAGCATAACTAATATTAGTTAATTTTCCTCTCTGAAATCAGGTATAATTAAGGTAGGATAATTTCTGACAAAACTAACAAATCTGGATTTGAATGTATTTCAATGCCATAAGATAATATTTTTGTTATGAGTTTTCAGATTACCTAATCAAGTGAATAAAATAAAGTGTAGCATACTGTGTATTTTTTCCTCTATGAAAAATTTGACTTTACCTATGTTTATGCAATACCAAATTTACTCCATATTTCCCCTTTAAATATATGCACTTTAAAATTATACAAATAATTCACATGAAAACATTTCCCTATATTGTATATCCTGAAAAAAAACTGAATGGAATATTTTAAAATCAGATAGAATATTCAAGATTGTACATAGCCTAAGAAATTAAATCAAGTGTGTAAATAACCATTAACTGTTGCTCTAGCTGCAACATAGAAAATGTACAACTCTATTAGTATAAAGAGATCAATAGAAAACTTCACATCTTATGCATATACCAAACAACTAACTAAAGAGTCTTGTATTCTAAAAAAATTATTCTTAGACCTAAATTTAGTAGTCCAGAAATTGTTAAAAAGGAAGATAATTGGTGATGACTTGCCTTTTTCTAGAAGGTGTCCTTAGACAAAGGAATTGGTGAATGATACTTAAATGTATTAGAATTTCATGGAATTTTAAGAGATTTACATAAATTTATTRAATCAAATTAATCTGAGATTTCAAGTGAATATTAGTTTGATTATTTGAAATCATAAAAATAGTTTTCAAGCAAACAAAAAAAGCACAACGGAAATAAGAAAATTAAGACATTTAGCAATAATGGCTACTCTAAAGGTTTWAAATCCCCCGAACCACTAAAAGAAAACTCTTAATGCAAACTTCTAAAAAAAATCTGTTCTTTGACCGCTTTCTACGACCACATAACCAAAACATTAACCTTTTGAAGCTGTTGAGATTGAGGTTTCCTTGCAGATGCCACTTATATCCCCATCACAAGAGTCATCCAACTCTTTTATAGCTTATATATTCATTTTCAACATAAATTTTGGATCAAAACRTGATCCTAATTTTTCTTAAAACATTTTAACCACATTTTTAATGCCTTGATAATGGATTGAAAGAGCTCTCAAGCCTTTCAAWGTTTCTAGAGAGTAAACTATAATTTCTCTCTCAAACAAGTCTTATATTTTCTGAAAGATATATATATATATATCTTTTATCCTGCTGGGAGGAAAAAAATCTGAGTCTTTATGGTCCTGTCCATTAAAATTGGCAGGCTGATTTCATTTTGGTCCCATAGTTTCTACTGTCCTGTCAGCTGCGAAGGAATCACAGGGATTCTAACTGCCATCAATACCCTTTGTAACTGCAATGGTTCGAGTGAACTCTTTCCATCTTCAATAACTGACACAGTGTCAACATCTGCTTCCAATAAAGTTGTTTCTTTTTTTCTCAAGTAGAGTAAATTTGCTGACTGAGATTGTAAAGGGTTGTTTTCCCCCTCCTTTTCATGAGTTCATGGGGGGATATATTTTCCACCATATTTTGCAACTTTTCCTCCAAGGCAAATTAAAAAAAAAAAAAAAGAAAAAAAACTTGGATAACTTCAGATGAYACGTTCTTATTCCAGGTGCCAGGTAAACTCAAAATATAACTGAAAAACATAAACTTTGATGATTTAATGTCACTATCCTCTTAATTTTGGAGATAGCAATACATAGGGACCCTAGATGAATTACATTTTGAAATATGTGAGAAAACTCCAAGTTGGGCCTTCAGAAAAGCAGTCATGTATCTATTTGGTTGCCACAGAAATGCATATGGAAAGTAAAGATAAGGGACATTTGGAAGGTCAATTTAATGACTTAATTACTCAAGTCATGGACATTTTTTGGTAGCTGTCATTTGTTGAGCACATAATGTGAGCCAGCTTTTATTTTTATATATGTATGATTTACCACTTCTGCAGCCTGTTAGGAATTAGTATCCCATTTTACTTAAGAGGTAAATAAGTGAAGTCCCAAATCACACATTACATTGTGGCTAAGCCAGAATTCAAAGAACGGCCTAATATCCAAACTTTCTTCCATTAACTTATTCTGTTCCCTACTCATCTCCCACTCAAAACTCAAACATGTGTACTTTCCTTTTCCACCACAAAATGCCACTGCTCCCAGTGGCTTAATTCAGCAAATACTATTTAATAAAAGGACACTGAGGAATAGAATGTAGCTTCTTAAAATGTCAAGCCAGACAGAAAATCAAAGACTAGACTCTGTCACATATTCTGCAAATCTCAGAATAAAAATGGGCAAACATTATTGGCATAATAAATAATGACCACCTTAAGGGTATTATTTGTAATAGTTTCTAGAGTTCTTTTCAAATGTTATAAAATCAAAGAAATCAATGCCTTAATTATTTGCAATTCACTAATTCTCATTTTGTACATTTTTTGAACAATCTTGGCCATTTTTGTCTAGCATAATGTAAATAAACTTATGATCAAAGAGTAAGAGAAAAATTAGAGCAGACAATGAAGAGAGGGTGGCTGATCTAAGAAAACATGCTAGTTTTTAAAAAGTTTACACAGTCTCTTTTCAAATTAACAATGAAGCATCACATCTCTTGTTAGGATCCTAACTTGCCAACATTATGTTGTTTCTTAGCTCCTGGCAATTTAGTGGTGGAAGCACAGATTAGATTGAGAATAAATGAGAAGATTTTCCAGTATTTACTTCTTAGGAGTTTTAGATAGTTGCAGTGGAGCATCCTTTGTAAAAGATTCAAGGGTCTAAGTCAAGTTAGGAAGACCACTGATAGCCTTCAGTAAAGTAATTTAGAAACCTATAAATTCAACTGTAGCATTTTGATGCGAGAAAAACAGACCTAGAAAATGATAGCATTTTAAATGTAAAGGAAATTCAGATTATTGTGCTAAATTACAAACCATCCCGTTTTATAACTTCTGGTAGTAATGGTGACATGGCAGGACTAAGGGATGCCAAACAATTAAGAGAATTTGTAAGTAGGCTCTGCCTCTTTCTACTCAAATTTGATCCACTCCTTTGGTGGCAGTGTKCTAACAATACCTGAGCCTGTTCTCAATGAGATAGCTTATTGATGGAAATTTTCCTATGTAAAAAAGAATTGGGGTTCTTCATTTTCTCAGGTCGCCACAGCCAAGAAATGTTTTGTCCATAGTTAACAGAGAGAGATAGAACAAAGTCTAAAATCAGGATGAAGCCAGTTGTTACTCTTTCAATTCAATTCAATGGAGACAAAGGAAAGAAGCAAATAGTTAATGCTTTTTTTCCCCCTTCTTAATTGAGAAAATCCAATTGAATGATCTGAATGAGTTCAAGTATGACACTGTTCTAAGAGAAATTGCAAAGGAAGTTAATAGATTCCTAGGGAAGAGGAGGTAAATAAATAATCCCCAGTGAGTCATCCCATGGGAACTACTGAATGCTTGTTTTTGAAAACTCAAGAGAACTCAAAGACAAAATAAATTGTATAGATTCATCAAACTGTGTGCTCCACATATTTGGCAGATTACAAAAAAAATTGCATCAAATCAAATTATAGGTCAAAATGTACATAGTTTAATCAAGCCACTTCCCTGGAAAGTGAAGTTTATATTATAAGTGAGTGGAAGTTTCCTCAAGTTTGGACTTCACATTGGTAAAACTGTGTATATTGTTGAGGAGAAGCAAAATATGGAGTGATGAGAATACAAAAGAGTRTACAGGTTTACAAGTCAAAGAATGCATCAGGAAAGAAGACTAATGCACAAAACATAGCCAAGATAATATTTGAAAATTACATATGAGAACTCTGTCTACCTAAGCATGTTGTCTTGTCAATGTTTATTCACACATATTATATATGCAACTAAAGATGCTAGTATCACTTCACTGAAAATCTGATTTCTTGTTGGTAGAGAGAGATAGGAGAAACTTGAGAAACTTTTTATCAAATGAAAACACCTATATTACATTGACTTTTTATATGAAGCCCTGAAAGCAGTTGAAAAGAGGAGACAAGTTTGCCTTTAAATTCCTTACATTATCAATAGCTGCCAACTTCTTAATCCTAATCTTTCCCTAATAGTGTCATAATGATAATTTTTACTTTAAAATCTTAGTTAGATCCTGAGGGCCACATCAAATTGTATCCTCAAATTTAAAAATTTTAGCCCAATTTCAGTAACTGTGGTATAAACATAAATAATCCCAATATAAATTATATTTTGCCCTAAATTTTTAAAAGGATTGAAGCAAGTAAAACTAAATTTGAACAATAACAAAAAATGGCTTGCACAATGCTATTGAAAATATTACTTTATAGATTTTTTTTTTCAATTTGCAATGATGAGTGGCATGATCAGAAATAGACAGGGCTTTGTGATATGTCTAGTATCTTTCTTGATATTATTCTTTCAAAAGCACTTAAAAATAACTTTTGAAATTGCCACTAATGAGTAATAAGAAACACAGAAAATAAGTCATTGGCATGTACAGATCTCATGGTTAAATATATTTTATCCCAGTATAAGTAGTTGTATTAAAACTCTGGTTTGATTTATCAAAGTTGGATGGACTAAAAAGAGGAGTGTACTATAAGTAAACTTTCCATCTAACTGAAAGTTTATGCAAACTTTCTTCTTAGTCAACTTCTAAGGACTCTTTGGGAGAAATCAAAGTAATGAAATACTCTTTCTTTAGTGTGCTCCACCCCCTGACCAAAAAAAAAAAAAAATCTCCCTTTCAAAGTTATATATATCACTCAAAACTAAGTGAGCTAGCATGGAATTAAATCTTCACTGACATTTAATGTAAAAACAATACTGCATTGGTTTGGCTGTGATATAGCTACTTTTGTTGAAAGGAGAAAATACTGAACACTTGAGGTAACCTAGAAAGCACAGACAGGAACATATCACACACATTTGAAAGATAAGCATTTAAACATTTTTGCCAGTGCTTCTCTGAGATCAAGTTCTTTAAACAGAACTCAACAATTGTTACAATATTAAAAAAAAATACATCCCCCCAAAATAGCCCATCAATGCTAAACCAAACTTTCTGTATTTCTACAAAAATAGATGCACACAGAACTACAAAATTGTATTCCTGAAAGAATGAACATTTTCATTTGTGGTTCATCTTTTCCTGACAAGGTGGCCAGTTGGAAAAAAAAAAATGACACAAAAACTATCCCAAGTACTGGTAAAAGCAAGAAAGTAAGGAAGAGTTGCACAGTTGACAAAGGCTCAGATGAGGGAAAAATTAAAACTGCTTTTCTTCAATGACTAGGACCCACTCTGCTTTCTCCAGAAAAGGTTCAAAACCAAGGTAAACKGCCTGCCACTTCCGCTTCTCCTTCCACGTTTCTTGTGTCCCATTGCGGAATGGAAAATCCCAATGGCATCTTTCTCCAGTGGGCCTTTGGATTCAGGCTGCAGCCTGACTTGCTAACACTGGATGCTTCAGTACCAGGGTGATTCCTTGCTCTTGTCTTGATGTTGCARACCTAGAAAAGAAGAATGTGGATATGAATACACACTGTACTCAAAAATGTGCACAACCTGCAATGCATTGGATATAAAAGCCAAAAAGAATACAGGCAGCTGTGAGAAATGACCTCAGRACAACCTAGTCTCTAAGAAAATCCTGGGCTTCTATTCACAATTTTCAAAAGGCGTACCAACACAATATGTGACAAAAATTCTATATAAGTGTCATTTGTGTAGTAATATATATTATAAAATATATATACAGATATATTAGCTATGGTTTTTCTCCTGATATTGAGTGAATAATATATCCAAAAATATAAACAATAATTTTATTTGTAATTTCAAAAGGAACTGATATTTTGAAGAAAAAAATGATAGCCAAACTTTCGGGTATATTTAGCAATATTTTAATAGTTTAGTCACTATCAAAAAAAAGATACTTCAGGACTAAAATGATAAACAAATTATATTGTTTTGAAATATGTTCCACAATGAAATTAGTATAAATTATAGCTAAAAGCCAGATTTATATGAATTTATACTAAAAGCAATGGCACARATTTTGTAATCCCAGCAACTTGGGAGGCTGAGGTAGGAGGATCTCAAGTTCAAAGTCAGCCTCAGCAACTTAATAAGGCTCTTAGCAACTCAGCCAGAGCCTCTCTCTAAATAAAAATTACAAAAAAAAAAAAAGGACTGGGGATGTAGCTCAGTGTTTAAGTACCCTTGATTCAATTCCTAGTCTCAAAATAAATAAATTGTGGCTAAAATGGAGTTTAGAATTGTCAGTGGAAAAACATAAAACAGTATCTAAAGGAAGATATGAGAACATAGTTTCATTTCAACTTATAGCTCAAATTGGAAAGTTTATCAAAGAATAAAACCAGAAAATATGAGTCTGATGTAAGTTTAATGCAGTTGACTGATATCTGATAGGAGCAATTAGCATAGCATCCCTAGCTTATATCCACTTGAAGTCATTTAGATTTTGTTCTGCATTTTTCTTTCCAGCTTTATTGAAGTATAATTGACAAGTATAGATGTATATATTTAAGGCATGCATGTAGCACAAGGCTTTGATGTACCTATATACTGTGAAATAACTACCACAGTCAAATTAGTTAACATATCCATCACCTTTTCAATTCCCCTTATTTTTCTATCTAAAGCATATTTTTTGGAAGAGTGAAGACCCCAAACATACTCTTAAATCCTTTAGAATCAAACATCAAAATATAAATGGAAGCCTTAGAAACAAGTGGGGAGGAATGGAATTTGACTGCAGATATGTGGGTGTGAGGGTTTCAGGATATTCTCCTGACTCTTAACACAAAACTGTTATAAATCTGGGTGTACATAAAAAATTAAAGAGTTAAATGACCCAGTATGGTTTTAAGGGTTTATTATTACTAAAATATTTATTCTTTAATTTTTTATATTTGTTTTAATTAGTTATACATGACAGTATGCACTTTGATATATCATACATAGATGGGATATAATTTCTCATTTTTTGGAGTGTACATGTTGCAGAATCATATTGATCATGTAGTCACATATATACACACAGTATTAATGTCTGTTTCATTTTACTATTTTTCCTAGCCCTACATCTCCTCCCCTTCCCTCTCATCACTTCCCTCTACCTAATCTAAGATAACACTATTYTTCCCTAGTGCCCCTACCTTATTGTGAATTAGCATACGCATATTAGAGAAAACATTCGGCCTTTAGTTTTGTGGGATTGGCTTATTTTGCTTAGCATGATATTCTCCAATTTACTCTGGTTTCTCTTCAGATGGTATAAATCTTTTGCCTTTTACTAAAATATTCCTTGTATCTCAATTTATAGAAGAATTTTATCAAATAAGTCAAAACCAGACACAATTAGTCATTGAATGCAAGCCTTCAGATGTCAGACAAAATGGAACAGCAAAGATGAGATCAAGAGACAACACAGAGAATTTCAAGTCTGTCTACATTCTATTTCGAATTAGTGCACTRGGAAAAGAAAAGGCAACACATCCCAAATGCAAAAAAAGAAAAAAAGAAAAAAGATACGGTCTTTTTTCCCTTAGGCATACTGGCATTATGTTTAGATGCATAATCAATACTTTTCTTTTCCAATTTCAAAAGGAGAGAGAGGGGGATGAAAGAAAAAGGGAGGAGAAGAAGAAATAAAAGGATCTGGGTTGTATCAAGTCACTCGAAGTTTGCTTTACTCATTTTCAAATGATTCTGTGGTTAGAATAATTTGCAACCTGACATAGTCTCTGTTGGGTGACTCTTATAATCTAAACCACCTTTACTGACAATCTGCTGACTACATAAATATTTTTTTCATTATTAAAACGTCTCATCTTCTATATGACTCAGTGTTTCCACACTTGAAGACTACATCAATCTATAGGATGTCAGCACTGCAAGTCATGAATATTATTGTAATCATCAAGTGGTTTGGCTATCTTTTTTTCTTTTTAAATAAAGGCTATCCCTGGTTTGCTTTGCAAAGACATATGACTCCTTCAAAATTGCATTAGTTTTTTGCCATACACAAGTATTGGATTACTTAAGATAGCCCCGAATTTTCCAACCAGAATAACAGAAGGCATCCTCTCATTATAAATTCATCTCTTTGGTTTTTGTTTCCACATCTCTGCAATACTGCAATGTAAACCCCTTTAATAATCAATTCATCTGTGGCCCCAAAGATACTACATATCTAATAGATACTTGGAGTTCCGTTTCTTTTGTGGTGAGATATAAATCAAAACTTTGCTTTAATTACCAGGAATTCATWTCTTAATTTCAAAACAGGCATGAGTAATGCACAAGAAAATGAGCAACCTCCAACAAAAGACCCTTCTAAGTTGCAACAGATAAGCAGGGTTTATAATTTTTCTAGTTAAAAGACAATCACAAAGGGTAGATCAAGATATTTAATGGTTAGCCAGTACATTTAGCATTCCCGAGAAAGGAGGGGACAAAACTGTTTAACCATGATCTTTGTGTGGTCCATATATATTTGGGATTTCCCAAATGTTCTTGCCACAACGGAATCCAGTCTTCCACCAGTTTTGCTCCTATTTAGGATTTTGCTGCCTCTTTACTTCTTAACTCAAGCCTCCATGGAATGAGTTCACACCACTTCCTGAGACTACTAGCTACTTGAAATCAACTATGCTTACTTTCTTTTATGGTAATTCAGTTTTAATTTTATTGTTTTAGCCTGTGAGATATCTAGAAGAGAAAATAAACAACATAAAAATGAYGTTAGCGGACACTTTCTTAGGGCCTGAATATGCCTGGTGCTGTACTAATTGCTTTACATGAAATGTCTCTTTCAATGTTCCCAACCATGCTGGGATAATATTCACTTTGTCTATGAGAATTTTGAAACTAAGAGAAGTTATGCAACTATTAGGTGGGAAGGGAGAATTTTAAAAGAGGTGTTTGATGTCAGTGTCAGCAGCCCTAATCACAACATATATGCTCACCTATATGTATATGTTGGCTGTGGGCTGTGGCATTGCCCTAATCCTCTCCACTCTTCAAGTAAGAAACTTCTTCAGAATCAATTCAAGGAAAAGTCAGTTTGTTTTTTTTTTTTGTTGTTGCTGTTTTCTTTTTTAATTTCTTTTGCACTGTTTAGAAACACCCTCRTTTAGTAGAATTGATATAGGAATTAACAAAATAGGTCTCAGTGATTTTGCAACAGCTAAACATGTGACTTTTTTCCCAAGATTCAATAAACGATACACAGTAATGCATTATGCTTCAGATAAAGGTCTCTTCAGTGATATAATGGGATATGCCATTATCAACGGATGTGTTTTTCTATGTGTTTTTCTTTAATGTGRCCACTCTTCCCACTACCAACACCAGACTTCACCATTGTGAATTTTTAAAACAGAGTGGTCATTTATTTGACTCCTGAGGTATTTGTCAGTAATAAACTAGGGAACAAAGACATCAAATTGTTGGCTTCAGAGCCTGAGTCTGAAGTTCAGTTTACAGAAAAGCCTGAGAGATAATGAAAGCTYATAGATGCATGTCCTCACTTCAACTCTAATACCACCAGCACTACCACCTGACCAACAGAGAAGGAAAGGAAGAAAAAAGTAGACACAAGAAAAGATACTTGGGAAAATTAGGGACAAGAGAGAAATCTTGGTCAAAGAAGAGGTTCAAAATTTGATTTCCTTATGCTAAGTGAAGCTAGTCAATCTTTAAAAAACAAATACCAAATGACTCCTTTGATRTAAGGGGAGGAAACAAGGACAGGGTAGGGACGAAGAGCTTGAGAAGAAGATTTACATTAACAGGGTTGAGAGGAGGGAGGGAAAGGAAGTGAGAAGGGAAATCGCATGGAAATGGAAGGCGATCCTCAGGGTTATACAAAATGACATATAAGAGGAAAGGAGGGGTAAGACAAGACAATGCAAATGGAAGAAATGATTTACAGTAGAAGGGGTAGAGAGAGAAAAGGGGAGGGGAGGGGAGGGGAGGGGGGATAGTAGAGAATAGGACAGACAGCAGAATACATCAGACACTAGAAAGGCATTATGTCAATAAATGGAAGGGTAACTGATGTGATACAGCAATCTGTATACGGGGTAAAATTGGGAGTTCATAACCCACTTGAATCAAACTGTGAAATACGATGTATTAAGAACTATGTAACGTTTTGGAAGACCAACAATAAAAAAAAATTTTTGATTTCCTTTCAAAATTTAGAAAATCTGAGTGTTAGTCTGTTCATGCTGCTAAAACAAATCACTATACATAAACTAAGTAGCTTATAAACAACAGAAATTTATTCATCATAATTATGGAGTCTGGGAAATCTAAGATCTGAGGCAACTAGAGACACAACATCTGGTAGAGGACTCTCTGATTCAAAGAAGGCATTTTCTCAGTGTGTCCTCAACAAGCTAGAAAGGGTTTGGAGTTTCTCAGAGGCCTCTTTATAAGGACACTGATCCCATTTCTGAGGGCTGTTTCCCGGAAGCCC